GTTTTGGGTTAGATGATTTGGAGCTGAGGGGGTAATCGAATACAATGGGAGCTAGTGTTGGTAATTGTTGAAGTTGACGTGATCACAATAGAACGTGAAATATGTGTGGGATATATATATTATATTGTAATAAAGATATGATATGTGTGTGGCTAATTAGTTACTAATTTAACAAGAGTCATTAATAATTAAGAGGGCATTGACGAGTGATTATGTGTTTTTAAATAGGAAATGTCTATTTTTAATCTGTTAGTGTAATTAGTGATTAAAATTAGGGTAAATTACAACTAATGAGGTAAATTATGAAAAAACCTCTACTGTTTGGGTAATTACAACCACCTTCAACTATTAATTTACTTTCACGTCCACCTTTGAAGTTTAAAATTTAGTGAAATCTTATTGATTATATGGAATATTATCACTTTTGTACCCGTTTCATCCCATTCGAGCGCTATATTTTAAAGTAAGATGATCATAAGATGTGTTTTTTGGCTTGTATATATCAGATTGTGGTGCATCAGAAACTGTATTTAATTACACAAAACGAGTACAAACTAGAGCACATTCCAGGGAATTTAGATGATTATGTTTAATTTGACACCGTAAGGGTGGAGTTGTAAGAAATTTCATAGTTGAGGGGTAAATGTAATTATCCAAACAAGAGGAGAATTTTCGTAATTTGACCATACCTCAGGGGTTTGGTTGTAATTTACCCATAAAATTAATATTGTAAGTTATAAACGCTGAATGCCGACAGGGCCGTCGGATGTGTGTATCAGTATGCAATATGCATGCGTCATGCATTCATAATCAAAACTCGTGAGTCATGAGTTTTTATATATTTTATTTTATTTTTTATTTTCCTACAAATTACGAAAAAAACATTTTGAAGGGAAAAAGTACAAGGGTTGGAGTGTGCACCAGAGTTGTAGGACTGTAATATTTATTGCTAGTTTTATACTCCCTCCGTTCCATAATAACTGTCTATTTTTTAAATTATTTTTGTTCCATATTATCTGTTACTTTACATTTCCAATACTGCATTAATTGTGTAATTATCAATTTTACCCTTATTAACTATCTCCAACAATCTCTCACATTAATTATTGGCAAGGGCATTTTAGTATAAGAACATATTTTTTTTTTGAATTAAGCAGTATTTATTGAGATCCTTAATCCCTGTGCACAAGCTAAAAACGACAATTATAAAGGAACGGATGGAGTACACAGCATATTAGTTTTTAGTATTTATTTATTTTATTTAATTGCAGAAAAATGATAATCTTTTCTATTTTCTATTCACAGTTTGTGTTATGAATTCAAGTCACTCCATCGAAGTGATGAGACCACATCAATAAATTGAACCTATCTATAAATACAAATTGTTCCTTTATTTTTTTGTTTTATTCTCTATTGGAAAAATACAACTTGTTCTAAAGACAAAGTAAAATTGATTTTCTTCAGCGAATTTCGGCGCCGTGAACAATTCGGGCCACAATGAAGTGACATGATCAATATACAAACATGTTTTTCTAAAAATATTCTCATCCATTGATTTTCTTATATATATATATATATTTCAATATATGATATGTATATATAATATGGGTTTTTTTGTGGAGTTTTTATATTCAAGTAGGCATGGTCAGTTGACAAGTAGCATCTTATTTTAAAAAGATGGAAAGAGATAATTGTTGATTTTCAGAGTTTTGGATTATATATAAAAAAAGTAAAAAAAACACGTGTAAACAATTTATTAGAAATAAAAAAAGATGAGAGGATATAAAATAATGCCAACTTGGTATTAAATAAACCACTTAGAAAAAGACTCGCGTTATTTAATTTTAGTAAATTTAATATATAGTCATAGTTGCTTGAAAACATACTAATTACTAAATAATAAACTCATTATAAAATGTATTGTACTTTAGTTTATGTAGGTTGTTATTTCAATCTGCCTATACATCCTTTTCGATTGTTTACATTAATATTCTATGCTGCTAAAGATTAATTTGCGAGTCTTCTCTCTCTCTTTTTTTTTTTTTTAATACATCTCAAATTTCTCGAACGAAATCAAATATCTTGTCTTGGTCCCTGGCCAACAGGTTTTGGTGGAGGAATAAATTACAGTGCAACTGTTCGCTAAAATGACAAATTTGGATCTAGTGCCCGTAAGGATCCAACCCTCATTGAAATTTAAATTCTCAAATTGTGGCGCTAGTCCTTAATCCTAGTACATTGCAATAACTTACTGCCCCGAAACTAGTTGAGTTATACTCACACGCGCAAAAATGCTCAATATTCTATTTAAGTTGAAATTGATTGATATAAAGTATAAACTCATTCTTAATTCATTTCCTTAATTAAATCTAACATATTAAGTCTTCATATATTTTATTCATGTCAATTTGCTTATAACACAACTGCATATTCCTTTCTGAAGATAAAAAGTTGCGTTTAAAACAGGGCAAAATAATTGCATATAAAACACTTAAAAAATAGTGATTTGCTCATCAAGCACGTAACATAGACTATTTGCCAACAATTTTTTTATTTAATTATTTTAAAATCAAAATTGAAATGTTTATTCTATTTTAGAAAGTATATCTTCACGTGGGCTATTTCTCTCCACTCAATATATTTTTATGGCATTTTTGTCGTCAAAATTTTAGTTTTAGCCCATTAAACATTCAATTTTATGGTATATATTATGCACATAAACATATTCCTAAAATTGTCCACGTCACCATAAAACATAATCTGATATACACACATTATATACGGACATATTATTACATTTATT